ACCATAAACTAACCAAGCAGCTCAAAAATCAGGTTGAGAAAAAAGGAAGAACTATGATTAAAACTCGCCAAGCACAGAATGGGTCACTTTCACTTTTTTTTTAGCTCTTTTTTCATGTTCCCAGCCTGACCTCTGCCCTGAGGCTTCCTGGTGGTCTCCCATCCAAGTCCCACCCAGGCCTGGGGCAAGTTAGCCAAGATCAGCCTGCCATGGCCAAGTGAGCTGACCTGGAGACCTCGCCCAACTCCTCCTGGTGTGCGGTCCCATTTCCTTTCCAAATGGAAAGCCACCTGATTGCACGCATTGGCTTCTTTACAAATTAAATACGCAGCTTACCAGTGTTTTAAAAGGCATTTTTAATTCTGTTGTTGTACACCACACTGGCCGTCACTTTGCAGCAGTGAGTTTCATCCCTTTTTCAAGGTCTTGCCCAAAATCTTCACTGCAGCGCAGAACTGCAATAAAGAGATGGGGCCACTGGTCCTGCGTCACTGGGGGCATCAGTCTGCACAGATGCGGGTAGGGCAGCAAAGGCTGCCGGAGGGACACGCTTTCGGCTTTCCTGAAACGCCCTGCCGCCCGAGGAAGTGCACGCTAGTTCCTTCCTTGGGAGGAAATGCCGAGATGTTTTTTTCACTCACACGGCCAAGTTTCCAAAGAAGTTGCCCAGAGGCCCACGAAGCAGTGCGCTGAAGGCAGGGTCCCCACCACATTCTGGCTTAGCCCCAAAGGCGAATGAGCAGGCCCTCCCCCTTGATAACAAGCATGTTTTCCATCATTGAAGTGAAAAACGTGTGTGTGTGTGTGTGTGTACGCACACAAGAGGGGGAATCTAGGCACACGCTGTAATTGCCACGCATGCATTGTGAAAGAAAAGCATAACGCTCCGCAAACCGGCAAGGACCCAGGGAGAGAGGCCCAAACTGGCAAGATTGCTCTGGGACACCTGCCTGCCCCCCTGCCCACTGACTCAGCTTGGTGAAGTGCCCTCCCCACCCACCTTTGCATGCCTCGGCATGGAGAGGCTGCATTGCAACTTCCATCATCCCCAGCTGACCTGGGAAGGCTGCTGTAGGTGGACTTCCATAGAGTTATTCTAGAAGGGCAGGAGACCTCAACATCTCATCCGATTAGCAAAATGGGTTGCGTGATACCAAAATCCTTCCTCCACAGTTCGTGCACTCTCTCTCCTGCTCCTTGCACAGGAACCACTCAATATCATGCCTCCAGGGATTGCACAGAGTGCCACACTACCCAAACCCCACACGCAGCAAGAGTCTGGCCTCAGCACCCGATTTTCCCACTCTGGCTGTTGTGACACGCCAGGAGAACAGACCATGCGTGGTGCCTACAGAGGAGGCTGCCTTTAGGGAATGAGGGGGCAGGGGCGGGAGGAAGGAAGGAAGACCAGCTGCGGGGGCCCCGCGGGATCTCGGGGCGTTCAAGTCCAAAGCCGGCCTCTCCAGCGCTTGGGCTCCTCTGAGCTGCAGCCGCGGGATGGCAGGGTGGGTCTCCGATGGCAGGACGCGCAGGTTTCATCACCCAAAAGTCCCTCCTGGATTGATCTAGGCACAGGGAGGCCCCTGCTCTCCAAGGCCAATCCAGAACCAGGGGCCCTTCAAGCCTTCTGCTACTGCCCCTGAGGAAGGGTCTCCTCAGCCAGCCCCACCAGAGCCAGCCCAGCCCAGCATCAGTTCTAAGCGAAGCAGAGAGGAGAGGCCATTGGGGAGCATCTCCAGGTCCAGGAAAGAACCAGCAACAGGTCAACGGCCTCTCCGCTCAGCCCCGCCAAAGGGCACTGGCCCCAAGGGCATCCTGCGCCATCCTCACTCGGCTGGGCGGGGGGCCTGGGTGCTGACCACCTGCCAGGCGGCGACTCATGGGGTTTCCCGGCCGAGTTGGTTGGCAGGGCCATACCCTTGGGTGTGGACAGGTGTGCCCGCCGCCGATGGGCAGCCAGGCTGCACAGGCGGGGGAAGCTGTCCCCGCACTCAGTGCAGATGAGCTCTGTGGGGGTGTCGTGCACCCGCTGATGGGAGAGCAGCGCCTTGCGCAGCCGGAATCGCTCCCCACAGTGTGCGCAGGAGAAGGGCTTCTCACCGGCGTGCAGCCGCATGTGCAGCTTGAGGGTGATGTGGTCCTTGAAGCTGCGGGGACACTCCTGACAGTGGTAGGGCCGCTCGCCCGTGTGGATGCGCGCGTGGCTCAGGAGGTGGTGCTTCTGCGTGAATCGCTTCCGGCACACGCTGCAAGAGAAGGGCTTCTCGCCCGTGTGCACGCGCTGGTGGATGACCAGGTGGTGCTTGTGGCTGAAGGCAAAGGGCCGGGCCCCTGTGTGGATGATCTGGTCCGGCCCGGTCCTTGAAGGCCTTCCCGCACTCAGGGCAGGGGAAGGGCCGGTCCCCCGAGTGGCCCCGCTGATGGGTCTGCAGGTGGTGCTTCTGCGTGAAGCTCTTGCTGCAGACCGGGCAGGGAAAGGGGCACTCACCGGTGTGCACCCGCTGGTGTGCCAGTAGGCAGTGCTTGTGTGGAAGAGCTTGCCGCAGTCTGGGCACACCAGGGGCATCTCTCCGGAGTGGGCCCTGCGCTGGTGGGTCAGGAGCAGCTTCTACAGGGGAAGGTGCAGTCGCACTGGCTGCAGGCAAAGGGGTGCTCCCCCCCATGGACTCGGAGGTGGGTGCCCAGGTGCTGCCGCTGGGTGAAACTGCGCCCTCACTCCCCACAGGCAAAGGGGCGCTCGCCCGTGTGGATGTGCTGGCGGGTCCGGCGGGCGACCTCGCTGCAGAAGCACTTCCCATAGTCCAGGCAGGCGAGGGGGCAGCCCTCTGCCCCGGGGCCCTCTCTGGCCTCGCCCAGCGGCCTCCACAGCACCCAGTCCCCGCCCCGCAGGGGCATCACGGGCAGAGCTCCCTTTGGCTGCTCCAGCTGCGGGTGCAAGTCCGCCTGTCCCGCCTTCTGGGCCTGGGCCGTGGCACGGCTGCCCGTCCTCTTCCCCTTCCGCTGGGATGCCAGGCCTGTGAGGAAAAGCAGAAAAAGGGGTGGAGCCTCAACCCTTGAGCCACGCCCCCCAGGCGGCCCCCAGCAGTGCAGCAGCCAAGCCCCTCTCCCCTCTCTGCAGTGCCCTCCCAGGGCAGGGGGCACATCTCTTTGACCCACAGACCAAAGGGCGCTCTTGTCAACAGGGGCCACCCAGGTGCGTCCAGCGGCAAATGGGGGGCAGTGGGGGAAGCTCTGCTTTGCCCACCAAAAGCTCCCCTGGAGATTCCTAGGCATCTGATGATGCAGATGACACCCCCAGATGCAGCTCTGCTGGGGCATCTGGAGAAGGGCGGCTGCAGCTGCTGCTGGACCCAGTCTGAGCAATACTGGGCCAAACGCTCATCGGCGGGGGGGGGCGTCGGAGGTCAACCCTACTGAGGCAGGAAGGCAGGCCTTTCCCATGTCACTTATACCCCCATCAGGTTGCCAGGAGTCCAAAACAACTGGATGGTCCAATCAATCAATCCTCCCCCAGCTTCTGCTCAGCTGACCAGGGGAAACATCCCTACAGACCCGGCCAGTGTAACGTAACCGAGGGGGGAGCACGCATCTCCTGCATTTGACAAATGCTGCGTTCTTCCCAGGAGATTCAGCCAATAAACTATTCTGCAGTTGCAGAAAATACTTTTCATAGATTAAAAAACAACTTGTTCCACATGGTTTCCGCCAACGATTGCCACAGGTGCCCCTGGTGAGCCTGGTCTTCTCTGGAAAGGCCACGCAGGATTGGCCATCTCCCCTTTCTAAATTAGCTCTGCCGCACACTTCCTAGACTGACCAGGGGCCCTGGGCACTCCCTGGAATTTGCTGGATTTGGCATGGATTCACCCTCAGGAGGTGTGACTTTCCAGCCACCCAGCTCAGCCTCCAAACGTCCCTCAGCCAGCACTGCTTTACCCAGCGAAGCGATCAGCTCGTGGTTCTCCCGCATAACATCCTGGTGAAGCTGCTGCTGCTGCCAACTGTCCAGCCATGCCCACTCTTCCAGGGAGAAACGGATGGTGACATCCTCCAGCATCACCAGCGGGGAGGCCTGGAGCCAGGAGAGAGGAAGCTGGGCTCAGCGCGAAGCTCCCTTTCTGGGCCCAGGAAGGACCAGGGAACTCCCCTCCCTCGAGCCGGGTGGGCCGAGATGGGCAGAGGCTGAGTGCCTGCCGGGCACTGGATGCCCCCGAGGGAGGCTGGCTCAACCCACCTGCTCCCCTCCCAATGTCTTTTGTGCCCAGCTGGCATTTCCTCTTCTCCCAGCTTTAAGAACAATTAAACCTGCAACGTCTCGACCAACTTCCCACACTTCTGTCGCAGGCAACTTACAAGGGGTCCCCTTCCTTTTATCCCCACAACATCCCTGCACAGCAGGCAGACTAGGAGTGAGGGGCTGAGGGTGGCTTCGGAGTGGCATCTCCCCACTTCCGTGAGGGGTCAAAAAAGTCAAGATGGTGCCTGTGATGGGACAGCAAAAGCCCCACAGGAGATGCCCGTAAAAAGGGGCAGGGCTCAGTTGATGTGCTTCTCCGTTTTTATTGCTATTTGCTCGCCCCGTGAATTTTGGAAGGGGACATCGCAATGCCTGCAGAAGCCTATTTTCAGTGACGGTCAGCAAACAAGGAAAACAAGCCCCTGATTGTGCATTAAAAGCTTCAAGTTGCTTTGGTAACTGAAGCAGCTAATGAACGAATTCCATAATTCAGCCGACCCATCCATGCCAAAGGAAGGACAAGGATTCTCTGCCCATCAGAACTGAATTTAGCCTCTGTGCCAAGCCTGCTGCAGCAACGGGTCTTCTGCTGCTGCTGAGGAATCAACCCCCAAATCTCCAAGGGGCTCTTCACAACGCCCCCCCCCCGGCCTATGATGTTAATTCAGGTCCTCTTTTAGCCCACTGTGTTCCCACTGAGATTAACAGCTACCCCATGGCTTAGACATCTGGAGAGATTGCGCTGGGGCAAAAACTGCAAGCCAGGCGGGATCATGGGATCAGCCTTTCCTCTGCCCTCCCTAGCACTTTTTCCTCCCGGATCATAGCTCTCCAATGGCAAGGTCAAGGCAGCAGCTGTTTGGACCACCTCCTCAGGAGCTCCCCTCGTTGAAGAGCAGCAGGGGAGCGCTAAATACCAGCTTTGCTTCCATTCCTGGGGGGTCGGCAGCCACTGGCAACCCAGGGCAAGGGGGCATCGGTCTCTGCCACTTAGAGTGAAGAGGCAGGCCTTCTCCCATGGAGCCCTCCACGTATGGAGAGCTGCATCCGCTCATCTTTCTTGCTTTACACTCTTCCCCCACCCCCAATTGCGCCTCGGAGGGACCCACGGAGGATTGGGCTACGGAGGGGGGTCGCACTGCCCTCTTTTGACTTTCCTGCTGGCCCCCCATCCCATGGCAAATCAGGCCCGACCCCGCCGCCTGGCTCTCTCTGGGGAGCCAAGGGGGC